CACATCCAGTTAGTCACAGTCAGAGAAACAGGACTACACTGGAAAACAGACAGATCTCCAACATCTAGAAACAAAGGTGTTGATGGCAGCAGCACAGCTGATATTTCTCTCCAGGATGGAGTCACACAGCAAAGTGCAGTCAGTCTGTCTTCCTAACCAAGGGACACATGAGCTACAGGTGAATCTATAGAGCTCAGAGCGAGTCCTCTGGAACTAGGGGCACTTTCTAGTTAAACTCCAGCCTAATTTTAACCCTTTATAGGGCACTCAGTGAAATACTTTGAAAAACAAAATTTCAAGCCAATAGTGTTATTGGAGTAGAAGACAAGAGCTGATTACTTTTGTTAGATTCAAAAACATGGATATTTTGATGGCAAAAATGAATGTCAATGTAAGAAGAAACGCCAACTTTCCTGATTTTATTATGAAAAATAACAAAAGTGCTTCTATAAGAAATTCATGAAAAACACTCAGAGTAAAAGAAATAACATTTTTTTTTGGTCCAACACAACCTTAGAGGCATTAATGCTGATACTAGTACATTTTTCATTTTGTTAACTTTAATATATACATATTTATATTGTTAATTAGGCTTATGAACTTTTTTTCTTGACTTGTTAACTGTTTTCCAACTTATTTTCCAGTATGTAATATATCATTAAGGGTTCATCTAATTGGTCAGATGCTAAAATAAGATGTACAGCCATGTAGCAGCATATTTGCTGAAGGACTGGGTATAGATCTTGTGCTTCTAGAGCTCACTGAGGGACGGGGAATAAGAGGAATGCAAGTGATCAGAAACAGTAACTTGCCTTATAAAGGGTTTTAAGAGTTTTTTTCCCTCGTTGGAGAAAGGAAAGTGGGGGTTCAATGATCTTTGCTCTCACTGACGCTCCAATCCTGGCACCAGGAGCCATCAGCTGGCCGGAACAAGGCAGCTCTGCGTGTCGCACACAGCCTGCAGTGTCCCCCTCAGCTGTGCTCCAACTGTCTGCTGTTTGCAAAGATTATTTCGGGGGAAAGTTGAATTGATCTGTTTGGTTGCAGCTGCAGAATTAGTTTGTCTCTAACATAACTTCTCCTGTTCTTCTTACATGTTAGCTAGTCCGTCATGGAGCTGCTGATCTCTGCAGAGTATTTATTGATACACCAATCAATCTGTTGGTGATCAGAGGCTTAAAAAAAACCCAGCAAGGCAGAGTTTTTGTTTTTGTTCTCCTTTCAGTAAAATTTGCAAACAGTCAAAGAAGCTCCAGCGAGCCGGTTCTACTCAGAGGAAGTCATTTTATTCTTTTTGTTGCTGGAAGCCATACTGTTTTTTTAAACTCTCCTTTTGAAGCTTCGTCTATTGTTAGTCTTAACAAAACTGTGCTGCAAAGATCATAAGAGCCCGTGACCAATCAAATATTAGATCACAAAAGGCTACGAGGCTGGAGAGGAGAGGAGAGGGTTAGGCTGGAACCAGGAAGGTGATCTGATGAAGATAAAGCCTTGATAACGCTCCACAGAGCCACCATCTTTAGTAGAACTTGACTCTGTTCCTTCAAGAAGGGAAAAAAAAACAGTAATTCATCAAATGTTTTCATGATATAAATGACGTTTGTCTCCCTGCTGCAGCTGCAGCTTGTCTAATATTTGTGAATTTGTTTTACAGTAAACTTGTTCCTGTGCTTGTTTCCTTCTCAGGAGTGGGAAAGAGCAGTCTCCTTTTGCGGTTCGCAGACAACACATTTTCAGGTTGGTGGTTCCGCCTCTGCTCAGACGGGCCGGGCCTCTATGGAGGGCCGCCATGAAACACGTTAGAACCACAGACCTCAGTGGGACATACTGGGTGATTTCTATGTGACAGACCAACACAAAGCGGTGAATGGGGAGGAGAGCAAGTGCTTTTTAGGATTTTAAATGGATGATAACATACGGAGAATGCAGCTATAGCCGTGCTCTGGATGCTACAAACATCTGGAGGATATGCTGGGGAAGATTCTCTGTCATCCAGGTCATAGTCATTCCAAACAATCTACTGAAATTTGTTTCCAAGTTTGAAGACGTTCCACTTCCCATCCAGGAAACTTTTTCAATTAAAAATGTCAGAAATAGTGTTGAGTTTTAGTTTTTTTGTTTTGAAAACATGCAAATAGAAACGGACGAACGGGTCCACCTCTTCGGAACGGGGAGCGATTGGCTTCTTTGTTAGCCTGCAATGCCCCATACCTGCTTATGTCTCTGAAAGGGGGTCGTTTTCTGCGTGTTTTCTAAACAAAAAAAACCAGGCTTTGTTGGGCTACTGTATAAAACCTGGAACTCAACGCTATTTCTGACATTTTGAATTGAAAAAGCTTCCTGACTGGGAAGAGAAATGTCTTCAAACTTCGGAACAAGCCATGGATTTTTACTTTTTTGGAACATCTGGAGGATGTTCGACTCTCGAGCTGAAACAACTAACCGGATTAATTGAATTAATTGATTAATTTTTAACTTGATAGTATAGTAGATAGTATAGAGACTCTAAAACATGCCTTTAGTTGACAGAGCGACCTACTTAGAGCAGGAATTATACCAAGATTATAAAACAAAACATAAATGTTATGCATTTAAGAAAAAAAACTGTTCGTCTGTCAATCTAATCTATATAGAACTCCTCAAGTGGAAAAGTTTTAGTTTCACCTGGTTTAATTTCTTCTTTAAGGAACTTTAAATTATTGATTAATCTAAAAAGCGATTAACTGATTTGAAAAATATCGCTAGTTGCAGTCCTAGTTGGCTCCTATGGTCCTCAACTGTGTGGCCTGCATGTAGGTTGCTGTGGAGCACGGTGGTGGCAGCATCATGCTGGAGTGACATTCAGGAAGGAAAGCTGTTAAAGGCGGAGGTCTGGATCAAACCCGACTGGGTCAGTACCTAAACATGGCCTCCCTCCAGTTCAGAGCTCCCTGGTGTTGGTCCGTCACCTGGAAGTCCAATAAAACCCAACGAAGCTTGTGGATCCAATGTGACAAAATGCAGAAGTGTCTGAAAAGCTTTTGTTCTCTACACCCGTCTGTGTCTGCTTCCAGGTAGCTATATCACCACGATAGGAGTGGACTTCAAGATCCGGACGGTGGAGATCAACGGGGAGAAGGTGAAGCTGCAGATCTGGGACACGGCGGGCCAGGAACGCTTCCGAACCATCACCTCCACGTAAGTAGAGAGCCGTCTTCATGCCACCGATCGAAGCGTGCAGCCACAGGAAGCCGTTTGTGGTCGTCAGATTAGAAACGACACGAGGAAGCAGTTAGCAGGCGGCTAGGCTAACTGTGTGAAACTGGGTGGGATTCCCCACAGATCCTAATTACAGACACAGGAGGGAGGCTCCCAGCTGCAGAGCTGCATGACGCTAACAGCCTGGCTGCTTCATCCATGTTTGTTTTGATCTTCTTCATGAAACAGCATTTAGGATGATCTGTGTTTTACAAACTGGAACCCTTTAGCTCCACGAACGTCTGCATGGACCACCTGATTGGACGCCCCTCCTCCCTCCAGAAATCCTCTAACTTCATTCCTTATTATTCGCTCTGTGACTTAGTGCCCTGTCCCACCATCCCGATTTATCCAGCGCCTGCCTGACGTCCCAGAATCTCCTAAAACGCTGGCATATGCTGAACTTTCTATTTATTCTTTTCAATTTTACCTGAGTGAAATTGGCCCCCCCACCTTCTTCAAATCAGACAAAATGGGTGTCAATTAACTCAGCTCCGTTTGTGCTGCTTTGGATTTGAAGATATTAATGAAAATGTAAAGGTTAAAAGGTCAACCAGCTCCCCCACCTTCTTCAAATCAGACAAAATTAGTGTCAAACGTTTGTGCAGCAAAAATTTTCATTTGTGCCGCTTTCATTTTTTTACAGTGTTATAAATTATAAGTTGCTAACCTATGATTACAGAATTATATAATCACAGGTTAGAAACTAATTTATGTGAAATTCAGAGTTTCAGAATGAACAAATGTTCACTGACCTTTGATGGCTTCTACAAACAATTATTAATATCATTAAAATGATAGCAGTACAAAAAATATATGTATTTTAAGATATGTATTTTTAAATTTTTAATATATTTATTTAAAATATTTTATATTTAAAATTAATTTTAAAATTTTATATTTTTGTATGGCAAAAATTTTCATCTGTACTTCTATCATTTCAATGATATTAATAATATTTTGTAGAGGTCATCAAAGGTCAGAAGCTGCACAAACCAGCACAAACATAGCCGAGTTATTTGACACCCACTTTGCCTCATTTGAAGAAGGTGGGGGGGCTGGTTGACCTTTTGACCTTTACATTTTCATTAATACATTCAAAGCTAAAGCAGCTCAAACGCCAATTTTTGCTGCACAAACGGAGCCAAATTGATTGACACCCATTTCGTCTGATTTGAAGAAGGTGGGGGGGCTGGTTGACCTTTGATCTCTAGAAACATTTCTTTATATCTTTAAAATGATAGCCGCACAAAGGAAAATTTTTGCTGCACAAACGTTTGACACTTATTTTGTTAGATTTGAAGAAGGTTGGGGGGCCAACTTCACTCAGGTTTCAATTTTAGGCGTGAACGTAGAATATTCATAACGAGTCCAGAACTAATGTCTAATGACATCCTAACTTATGCATAATGCACGGTAGCATAATGGGCATTATGAAGCAGCAGTTGAAGCTGCTTCCCTCAGGAGCAGCGATGATGCTGCCCGCCCAAAAAAGAAAAACAGAAAAAAGAAAGAAGGTTTTTGGTGGCAGCAGATTAAGGCCCCGTCCACACGAAGTCGAACCCTGGCCTAAACGCACAAATTTTTCACCAAACCAGCCTCTCATCCACACGAAGCCGGCGTTTCGGGGGTCTGTAAACGATCTTTTTTTTTATTAAGCCTTCAGAGTGGGAAGATTTTGAAACGCCTTTTCGCGTTTCCATCTTTAAGCTCTAACCGCATTTTTTTTCTTACACGCATGCGTCATAGCGT